ATGTGCGACTGTTTGTTGTTGCTTTTATTATAATGCGCAGAGTGTTATGCTTATTGTTGTTGCTTAAAAATAAACTCTGCTGCGCGTGGCAATTTTTTTTTTAGAAGCTCTACATATTTGCCTCTCACTCTCTGAGAGAGAGCGTAGGCGCACTCTCTCGCTCTTTAGCCAAGCATGTGATAAAATGTTTATTCATGCTGTCGCTCTCGCTCGCACATGCTCGCTGTGCTGTTAACTTTTCAATTTTGCAACTTTTAAAAAAAAAATTGGCAAATTTCACTGCAAAAAAAGTTAATGTTTTTTGTTAATGGTTTTTTATTTTCTTCAGTTGTGTTTCTCACGCGCACATTTTTAGCATCTTTGCGAATTTTTGTAGTTGTTGCTTTTTGTTTGTGCTGCCATTTAACGGGCCCCTGCTCTATGCATTAGGGGGCGTTGCATGTCTGCACTGTTAGTCTTTCGCAGTCGACGCCTACTTGAAAAATGTTAAATGCACTTTTCAATGGAAGCAATGGAAGACAGAAGAGTTGCTTGGGTTATTATTAGGATATTTTAATTTCCCTTTGTGCTCTATACAGTGGAACAGACGGCAAGATAGCTTATCAAATCTCTGCATCTCTCGTAATATAGTTGCAACTTATCATGTCATTTGTTGTTAGTTATATGTAAACAAAGCAATCTTAAATTATCTTCTATCTAATCAAATATTTTAAAAATGATTCAATTGCCACATGGAAATGGAATTTCCTTTGCACTCAGTCTTGTTTACTATGCTAAACACATAAAGAGGAATTCATTCTGTGTTCTGTGTTGCTAAGCAGTCGCTTCTAATCATTTTGCACACAACCTGCCCCACTGTCTGACAAGCTCAATGGTATTAGAAGTGAACGAAAATCAAATATATAAAATAGAAATTGTTGTTGAACAGGTGTTTCCAAGAGCGAAAAAGGGAATACCTCAGATTACGTTTGAAATTTGCTCGTTGTGGTTGTTGCCTTCAAATTGACACCGTCTGTCTTGTATGTTGTTGTTGTTGTAGTTGTTGCTGCTGTAAAATTGTGACAGGCGCCAAACGGCGTTTTATTGATTTATGGGCGAGTGGAATGATTGATTGATGATTGGCTTTGACTTTCGGCTGTATTGTGATATTTGCAATTCAAATTCAACCAAAATACAAGAAAAAGAGCAAAAGTGAGAAAGAGAGCACGCACATACACAAACAGTCAGACGCAAAGAAAGCTCTGTGAGAGAGAGAAAGAGAGGGAGAGCCAAATTAAACGAAAGCAAAGAAGGAAATTATTGATAGACGTCAGTTGGCTGCTGATCTACACTAAACGAAGGGAAGCAGGGGAAGAGAGGAGGCGAATGGCGACGAGGACAGTTGGACGGCAGAAGCGAGCACATGATTGAAATAAAATGTATAGCACAAAAGAATCCCAACAAAAAGGAAAACAAAAAAACAACAAAACAAAATAAAAGGAATACATATGTATTCATTTATTTTAGCTCATAAATTTAATGCCAGACGAACGACATAAGATGTACCCAAAATGGTTGCTCCCTAGTTGCCATAGTCTATCCCTAGCTCGCTCGCACTCCTCTTCAATTGTATCTAATGTCACCACAGTGTGTCAATTATCAATAAAATCCCAATGAAATTATGGCTGAAGCTGAGTTTCCTTTATGGATAATGATATTTTGTGATTGTTACTGAATTTCATATTTGTTTAGCCATTCAAAATGATATGTTTTGATATCAATATATGCCATCAATTCCTACTCGTTCGTAATTCTGTAGGGAATATCCCTTACCTCTTGCTTTCTCTTTTAACTCCACCATTTGTTACCTTTGCTTTTCTTTGTCTTTGTCTTTTTACCAATATTCTCATATTGTCCACTCGATATGCTAATTTGGCAGCCATTGAGCGGCATTTCCTTTCGTCAAGTCGTTTGGGCTTTTGTCATTTCCGGAGTACAGGCGCCGTCTATAGAGTAAAAAGGAAAGGGAAGCGGTATTTGGCTAGATTGCCTTTCCTACTTGACCACAACCTTGAATGTTCTATTATGGAAATTGAATGCGACAACAAAGAGACCTCCCATGAGACAGAGCTCCTGCTTATTCAATTCCATAAAAGGTACAATCTAGCATATTATGTGGCTATAAATTTTGCTCATATCAAACAAACTCAATTATATTATTAATCTACTTTATATGTAATACCATATTTCATTTATATATACATATGTATATCTGGCACGATTTTTACTGAGAAAAACTTTCCTTTATGCATGTCAAACTTAATTTGTTATTTATTTCGACGACAACGCTTTGGGGAAGGTAAAATAAATTCCACGTACTTAAATAGATAGTAAACAAACGCCAACAAAAATCGAACCAACAAACGGAACTACTTGTGGCATGATACCAACTATCTACCACCAAAATTTCCTTCTCCCTTAGCTGTGGACTTAACTCAAAGCAGTTTAACAAACAATTCTCATGTTTTCTTTTTTGTTTAAATTGAAAGTTCATCGAAAAGATTGCTATTTAAGCTATATCGATAAATATCGATTTGTTTATCGTTTGATATTTATAAAAGAGATGAGAATATTTGCATTTATATTATTATTTCTTTAGTCAAATAGAAGCCAATCACTATTGCTGATATTTTGTGGAACATTTCATGGAATCGATAAATACCGAACTTGTTTATCGAACATAAATTTAAAATTATAAGAGCTAGATAGCTTTAGTTTCTACCTGTTTCCACCTATCCATAAATATTTCAAGTCAAATGTCAGCTTGGAAAAAGTTATCTTTAGATATCTGAGTAGCAGCTGAAAGGGTTTAAAGGGCAACCGAGTTGTTGTGAGTTGTGTTGTTTACCCTGTTCACCCGGATATGAGGTTCGCTGCCATAACGAACGACCTTGACAGCGAAAAACTTATTATCGGATGTGAATGAAAATGGAAAAAAAATAAACAAATAAACAAGTGGGGGAAAAACTTGATTATGGATTTGCATTTTGGGCTGGGAAACGCAATTTGCAGTCGTTGTCGACGTGAAATGAAAATCAATAAAAGTGCAGCAGACGGCCAAATGAAAAATGGGAAAATGGGAGAATGTCAAATGGCGCTACAAGCGCTAAAAACTGAGTGAAAACCGAAAAGCAAAAGCTGGGCGAACGTGAAAGTTACGAAGAGAAATGAGTCAAAGATAAGGAAAAAGAGATGGAGTTGTGGAGGCAGGAGCAACGGGAAACGCCTTTCTTTCATTAGCGCCTCGGCCAAAGGGGCTAAGTGGGTGTGTGTGTGTGGGTGTGGGTGTGTGTGGACGGGGGCGTTGTCTGCAATAAATGTTTCGAGTTGCCATAAAAATTTAGCGTAGGCTTAAACGAAGATTTAAGAGCAGATTTATCCCGAGGCTGAGCAAGCTGCATCTACATCTACATCTTGTTCACTTTGATGCAGTTTAAAATTAAAGTATTGGCTGGCTGGTACTAGAGTTGGCAATAAGTTCAATTGAACTCGACTGGTTTAATGATCAGTGAAGAAAATTTTATATATTTTAAATTAAAGACAAATTTGATCTTTAAAACTTTTCTACTCAGACAGAATATGAGCTGTTATCACACAAGTTGTGAGAAGCTAAGCTAAATGAATCAATTCTTTTGACCTGATTTTTATTTAAGTTTGTTATCCATTAGCTACGAAATCCAAGCAATATTTAATATGGTTTCTTATTCGAGTGCTTTGTGGAGTCAGAATATGATCTAAAAGCCTGGTGATATTAAAAACTAGTTGTAACTAGTTCATTATTAACTTTTAACAACTCAAGGAATAAAGTTTTATTAGATTTTAAACTGAAATCTTTTCGCTCATTAGCGTCCGTTTGTGGGCGTTAGTGAAAAATGCACAAGTGTGCAAAAAAGTTAATAAGCGTAATAGCGACTGCTTCGTGGCGTAGGCAAATTTATGTATATTAAAAGAGGGCAGGCTGACAAATATATATATTTATTCTTGTGCACTCTTAAGTAGAGTATTTTGTAGACTACTTTCGTCAATACTTATATATCCACGGAGTATCAGTTTCTGTTTCTACGATGGTGCGGGCGGGTGGTATGAAATGTGCGTGACAAACTGCACTCTGGTTGTCGCGTCGCTTCGCTTTGCATAGCCTGAATTGTAGCTGGAGCTGGTTGGGGATGGGAGGAGGAGAAAAGAATGGGTTGGCTTTTCATAATGCATTGTATTTTCGCACCTAATTACGCCCCCACGTCCACTGTTTGTTAATTCATTAAGCATATTTGCTTGCCTAGCTGAGGAAGGGAAAGAATCTTCCTCTCCCACTGTCCCACATCAGATAGGGCCAGGCCGAGCAGAATGTTTGACTTTTATGCGAACTTAAGTGGGCATTCGTGTGACTTGCAGTTAAACTAGCTATTGATTGCCTCAAACCCATAATCAATTCGAACATTTCTTTTTATTTTTACTGACGCACATTTTGGTTTTGCCTTATTGGATTTCCGCGCGTTTCCGGAGGTCGATGTCCGCTCTATAAAGAAAAAATCATGAATTTTCATACCACAATTGAGTTTAAATGCAGGAGAAGAAATACATATATATTTAAGAGGTAAATAAAACGAAATATACCAGAACTTTCCTTCATTTAAAAAAGTAGTCAGCTTAATTTAAAATGTTTGCCTTGAATATTTGGCAATTGAGTAGTTCACTTTAAAATTTGGCAGTTGAAGCCATTATAATAATTTGAATTATTCATAATATCAAAAAGAGGAAACTTAAGTTGTTCTCTGATAAGATATGGTAGACATGAAAAGGATCAAAGCAAAGTACCGCTCAGCATCCAATTCCTCCTACTGATATTGAAAAACACTATCTGATCAATAAGTTGCGATAAGATCAAAACAGGATAGAGTCTAGACCATATAAAAGTGCGTCTACCACTGTTTGGGCTATCAATTGTCTGAACTCCATTCAAGATGAGAGCACAATACGGTAGCTATACTGAGACATACCTATTGAAAAGGTCCTTCATTATTATATATTAAACTTGCAGTTCTTTTGGCTTGCCTTGCCGTCCTGGCTGTCGCTATTGAAGCTGCCACTATTAAATCTTCGGCTAGCAACGATCTATATCGTCGTGTTGTCTGCGTAAATAAGCCGAATGGTTTCCGCTCTCTTCAACCTGGTAGTTGCTCCCAGTATTTCGAGTGTTTGGCTGGTGTTGCTGTACAGAAATCTTGTACTCGTTTCTTTGACCCCAATGTTCAGCGTTGTGTCAACTACAACACCGGCTGCACCGAGGAGAAGCAACTGGCCAATATTCAACCTACCGCTGGCAATGTGGTAGCAGCAGCAGCAGCACCATGTGAAACGACAACACCTCCTTGTGTCGAAATTATAACCACACCTAAAACAACCACTTGCACTACTCCAACAACAACAACAACGACAACAAAAACAACCACAACTACAACCACACCCAAAACAACCACTTGCACTACACCAACAACAACCACAACAACTACAACAACGACTACAACCACAACAACAACCACAACAACTACAACAACAACTACAACAACAACTACAACCACAACAACAACCACTTGTACTACACCAACAACAACCACCACAACAACTACAACAACAACCACAACAACAACCACAACAACCACCACAACAACCACCACAACAACAACTACAACCACTTGTACTACACCAACAACAACCACCACAACAACCACCACAACAACCACCACAACAACCACCACAACAACCACCACAACAACCACCACAACAACCACCACAACAACCACCACAACAACAACTACAACAACCACAACAACCACAACTACAACAACCACTTGTACTACACCAACAACAACCACCACAACAACCACCACAACAACCACCACAACAACCACCACAACAACCACAACAACCACAACAACAACCTCAACAACTACAACAACCACTTGTACTACACCAACAACAACCACCACAACAACTACAACAACCACAACAACTACAACAACCACAACAACTACGACAACAACTACGACAACAACGACAACAACAACAACTACTACAACAACCACAACAACAACTACAACAACCACAACAACAACTACAACAACCACAACAACAACCACTTGTACTACACCAACAACCACAACAACCACAACAACAACCACAACAACCACAACAACAACCACAACAACAACCACAACAACAACTACAACAACAACCACAACAACAACGACAACAACCACACCTAAAACAACCACTTGCACTACACCTACAACAACCACAACAACAACAACCACACCAAAAACCACAACAACCACAACAACAACCACAACAACAACCACAACAACAACCACAACAACAACCACAACAACAACTACAACAACAACCACAACGACAACAACCACACCTAAAACAACCACTTGCACTACACCTACAACAACCACAACAACAACAACCACACCAAAAACCACTACAACAACCACACCGAAAACCACCACAACAACCACACCAAAAACCACTACAACAACCACACCGAAAACCACCACAACAACCACACCAAAAACAACTACCTGTACTACACCTAAAACAACCACTTGCGCTCCACCTCCAACAACAACAGCCTGTGCTCCTGTTAAGACAACCCCACCCTGCTCATAAAAACATGAAGAGTTTCCTAACCAAGAAAGGGGTTACGTTCCTCATATTATAACTAAATGAAAGCGTCCACATTTACAACAAATAAACAGTGCAGAATATTAAAAACAAAATCGTTTTATTTTGAAATCTTGCAAATATAAAGAGTACTCCTATTTACATTTTTCTACATTTTATCATGCTTCCCATCCAATCCAATTAACAAATATTTCGACAATATTATAATATTTAAATGAATTCTCGAACATGATTTAATTGAAATGAAGAAGCAAGAAGGAGAGAAACAAGAAGAATCTGACCGTCAACGTCATAAATTTTCGACATAAATAATTAATAGCTAATTTTTCGCCTGTCAAAAAGAAAATAAAATTTAGGAATTTCTTTATGGAGGCGTTTATTTGATGCCATTCTAGCTGCTGCCCACATAGATAACTGCAAATATCTATTCATTTCTCTGAGAGTGATACAAAAAGACTGGGGAATGGGGAATGGCAGAGCGGGAGCAACTGTCAGTCGCGAAATGTATCATCATTTTTTCGTATACTTCCGGAAATGTTGTCGGAAATGTTTGTCAAAGACTGTGTGACTAAATGGAAATAACTTGTTTACATGATAATTGAGTTTGGTTTTTGTAGCGAAGCATTTAATGAGAGCTATGCAAACGTTTAAGAAAGCGAGCTTAAAGAGTAATTTAAAGAAGATTGCAATGAAATTTTATATTTGACTGAATTTTTATAAGTAATCGGATGAGCAGGTTGAATTGTGGAAAGTATCTCGACCGATAAGGAAGCAACAATCATAGTGCAGACAAGATATTATGTGTACTATATATAAATGATTTTTGTATATTTTTATAGCAAATAATACAAATTTGGGAATATGCTTGTTATATTGTATAGGTTCAAAAGAAAAATTAAATTTATGTATAATTGAATGATTATAAATGAATTACTTAATATCAAATTGAACCATCTTATTTCTAAATGAATTCGAATACAGCGCCTTTCAATGCGATTCTCATTGCATAAAGGCAAATGTAGTACAGTATATATATGTGTATATTTTATATTGAAAATCTATCTATTTTGCTGTTGCTATTTATATTTGCATTTAAAAGCACAAATTTTCACCATAAATTGTAAAATTTCAATAAATTATACATATATATATATATATATATATATATATATATTTATTGTTTTCGTCAGAAAAGGAGTTTTATTTGACTTAAGTATTGTTTTTCTGCTCTTTTGCTCATTCCTTCTCTTTTCTTCTGCAACTCAAAACTTTTATACTGCATGCCTTTGTCTACACACGCACACACACTCACACACATGAATGCATACCGATGTGTATGCATTTGTATACGTACTTAATACAAATATAGTTGAAGCCGGTTTTTTCCTTTGTCTGCCATTTGAAGCTATTTTGCCGGTTTTTATTATGGTTCGGTGTTTGTTGTTGTTTTTGTTTGTTTCGGCTCGTTTTTTTTTTTGTTTTTCGTATTTGTTGCCGTCTTATTAGTCATCCACATGAGTCGCAAACCTAACCTCACCCAACACCTTCCCCATCCCCGAAAAACCGCCATTTATATAAAAAAGAAATGAAAAAACTCCAACTGAAAGTCTTGCTTCTCGCTCGCACCTCTTAGCAGCCATTGTTTGGCAGTTGCGTATGCGTATGAGTGTGTGTGTGTGGATTGTGAAGACTCAGCTGACGCTGACGCCAGCAGCGGAGCGCAGCTGTGCGAGCTAAGCGCCAACAGCTGTTTTTGCTGCTGTTGTTGTTTTTGCAGCCGATGGGTTTTTGGTTGTTGCCGGCGTTGGCTGACAACGCCCACATGGCATCCACACACACACCAACACAAGCGAGTACTGGAGACTTAATCAACATTTGTGGGCGGACTGCAGCAAATGTAATTGAAGTTGCGTTACATAGCAGGCAGCTTTTAGGTGTGACGCTTGCGTTTGCTTCTTATTTTCAAATTTTAATTGAATTAGTTTTTTTGACTTGTTTGTTTTTTAATGGTCAACTCAGTGCAGCTAATTAATTAATTGCTAATTGAAATGTGACGGCGACGACGACGACGACGGCGGCGCCTTGACGCTCCATTAATTTCGCATTAATTTTCTTCACGCGCCAAAATCTGCAATTAGTTTTATTTACTTTGCCTAGCGATTTTGCCGTTTGTTGTCGTCACGCCCACACATACAATCAGCAGATTAAGAAGAAGAGTCGACGAAGAAAAAACAGCATTGCAAAATATTAAAATTGAAATAAAAACAAATTTTGTTGCACGTCAAGCGCCGCGGAAAATGAAAAAGACGCAAGCAACAGGCAAGCAATAAGTAAGAAAAAATAGAAAAAAAAATGTAAATTAAGCAAAAATTGTATCTGCACTGATCTTCGGTTTATTTGTTTTTGCATATGCCCTAAAAATGCTGACGGGATATATTAGCTATGTGAAGCCTTTGATGCTAATCAAAAGATATTGATTACTTAAACATATCATTGTTATCGATTAGTGATTTATCGATAGTTATAATTTAAAAGCTACGACAACAATAACCATCACACTGTTATCGATAAAGAAAACATAAACTGCCTATGCATAGGCATTCAAACGATCGATATTAGATCGATCAATAGATTCTACATCTTTCAATATTACTCGACTATTTATGTAACACAATTATCGAATACTATCGAAACGATACAATATACATCGATAATTAGAAAAAAAATTGTCGATAACTAAAAATATTTTTAATTCCAATATATTCTATATTCGCAAGCACTGATAAAAACAATCTGTAGAAGCTAAAGAATAAGACAAAAATCGATATTTATCGATAGCCTTGCGAGAAGACATTCCACATTCGTCTAGCCAATTGCTATGCTCTATTCATAGCCTTCCCAACATATTTGTTTTGATCGTTTTGTTTGAGCTTTCATTGCCAAAAACGCGAATGCTGCTACCCGTAGCCAACGCCAGGGGGCGCTGCAGCGGCTTCCGCACAGGGTGAGCCAATGGAAAGCAAAACTAAGGCAAACTATAATAAATCAACTTCGTAACCACATGAAAAAAAAACAGAAAAAATTGTCGAATGCAATTTTGTCGAATGGCGACGCAGAGGGAAGCTAAATTCTGCGATTCTGGTTCCGCGCGATCGTAAAACAATTTTGTAGAATTTATATTATGGGAAAACATGATTTCAAATGATTTATTTTTATAGTCATAAAAATGTTCATAGAGCAGCCAGTTGCTAATCGGGCCGATCATTAAAGCAACATTTCAGCTGTCGTAATTGTAGTTTTTTTTAAAACTTGGATGATTAACTAGAAGTTGCTACTAACAAATCGTTTGTCACTTGTTTGCTATTTTCAAAATTTTCTGGAATTTACTATTGTTTTTTTTTTTGTGATTAAGTTGATATGCACCTTTCGGGCATTTGGGCTCTTATCAAAACCCATCGATTATGTCGTGTCTTAACTTGAATGCCCACTGTGCCACCACTCATATATATGCATACATACAAATATATTTTATTTATATATATATATACATATATATATATTTATTTATATACATATACTTATAGAGCCAGCTATACCCTACATATGTTTTTAGTCTTAGACTGTTTCAAGTGTACTTGAATTTTGAAGGCCTCTGCAATGCACGCTTGATAACATAAGACAACTAAGTCAGCTGCATTTCGAAGAGAATTGGGTTGACTGCTGGATACCCTGTAATATTTTAGTTAACCGATCTATTCTTTTGCTTGGAAGATGTTAAGTCAAACGTCAAAAATATGATATAGTTTCGATATATCGATGTGTGAAGGGGTATTAATATACACATAAGTATAAAGAGGTATCGATAACCCGAAATATTAAAATTTATCTAGATAACAATATATTAAAACTTGTCGACATGCCAGTACATTAAAATGTATCTAACATTCAATATATTATATATTCATATTCATCGAGCTTTCATTCCAGCATACATACTTCGCTTTGGGTAGGGTATTCTCCTTTTTTTCCTGAGAATTTTGTCGTTGTCAGTTGAACGGTTGGCGCCAGGGCGCTTAAATTGCCGTTACGATAACACAGGGCGTGGGCGTGCACACAGACACACACAGGCGCAGACACACATAGTCTATGCCTAGGTACATTTCATATACACATAGGCATTCAGCTCTTATAAAAGCCGTCTCTTCTCCGTCTCTGTCGCACCCTTTGTGTGTGTTGAATGGGTTTTGCGACATTTCGTTTTGCATTTTTACATTTTGTTTTTATTTCTTTTTTGTTGTTTGTTAATTTGTTTCATTGATTGACAGCAACAACTATAATAACAACAAATTGAGACAAGGCGACGGTCAAGAGGAAGCGAAAACAGAAAACACAAACCCGAAACGTAAAAACAGACACAAAAAAATTTGCAAAAAAAAAAAAAAAAACGATAAGCCAAAGCAAAGCGAACGGCGACACAGAGAAAAAATCAAACATTTTTCAAAACATTTAAAAATAGTGCGCAAATTGCTATATTTACGTTATAGAAGACAACAACAAAAAACAATAACAAATGCCAATATTGATAACTCTCGCGCGCTCTCGAGCGCGCTGTGACTCTCCCTCTCTTTCTCTTTGCACACAGATCAACAGTTAGAATTCTCTCGCACTCGCTCGCTTGCTCGCTCGCTCTGTTTGTTATCAGCAGCGCGCTTACAAGCTGTTACACACGTGAATGAATCGTACACTCGCTCTTACTCACTCTCTCTCGCTTACTCACTCGCTTTAAGCTAATTGCATTTAGCTTTGTTTTTGTTTTGCCTTCGTCGCTGCCAAGCTTCCCCTCTGTGCCTTCTGCTGCTTTGTTGTTGTTTTTTTTATTGATCGACTGCGCGCATTGCACATTATCGCCATGTTTGTATTGCCATTTTTCGTTGCGCTTAAAAGGCTAAAAAAAACAACAAAACAAAATAAACAACAAAACGATA